TGTTTGTGAGCCCCAACTGCTACACCAGCAACTATTTTTGTAGCACCTTTTCTGAAACACTATGTGCAGCTTTCTGATATAAAGAAGAAATTCTCTATGAGATCTATGCATTACTCTCAAAAACTGGAGTCTGTATTAATCTGTATGAGGTTTCTGTTCTCAAAGTTTCCTTTTGAATGTTGTGCAATATTCACATCACTGAATCTCCCTGAGAGATGAGGCTAAGGAAGATGCTTGTAGGCACAGGAAGGTGTAAGGAGTATCTCCTTGAAACCTTGCCTCATTCCCTAATTCTGGAAACGTGCATACCCCATACGCACATGCTGGAAAACTCCATCCCGTGTGCCATGATAGAGCATTCAACACCAGAACATCCAGCTTCGACGTTACACATCCTAGCCTTTGCAACCATGTCCTTTTCTGTCAGAGCTTTCCTAACACTGTGTAGTAACGCCGTAGAAAAGGGCCTCTCCTTTTTCCTCATCTCTCTTTGCCTTATTCAGCTGATACCCAGCATCAGTTCTCCCAAGTGGCATCGTTCACAGATTGCACAGTGCATAAATAGAAGGTCTTGGGTCTGTCTCTGCACAGTTTGCACAGGCATGAACTGTAGTGTACTAAGGCAGACTGCTGCATTACTTGACATTCTGATGGCCCATTACTGTTGTGGCTTCCAGTAAAACCCTTCGTTCTCATAGAATAATGTGTTCTTGTGGTAATGTGGAAGAATAAGGAGTGGGAACCCACAGTGGCCACCAGGACTCGCTCACTAGCAATATCTAGATGTGTTTGTATACTTCTTATTTATGTCATTTTTATCTCTTATCTTTATAACTATATCATGGTTTTATCTTTCAAGGTATTCTGCTTTTCTTTCAAGGAACACTGTACCTCTTGGCCATTATTATTTTTTTTAATGACTAGTAGAAAAAGAATGTCAAAGGTGGCAGAGTTTTTGTTGTTGTTGTTTGATTGATAGTTTAATAGAAAGGCTTGCCATGTTTACAGAAGTATATTTCCAGGGCTCAGGATTTAATCAGTAGGGGTTGGCTTTTTCTCTTCAGGTTACCAGCAAAAGGCCAAGAAGGAATGACTTCAAGTTGCACTAGGGAAGGTTCATATTGGATATGAGGGAAAATTTTCTCCTTCAGAAGAGCGGTGGTGTACTGCAATAGGCTGCCCAGGCAGGTGGTGGAATCACCATCCCTGGAGGTGTTCAAGAAACATGTAGATGTTGTTCTAAGAAACATGGTTTAGTGTGGTAGGTGGATGGTTGGACTAGGTGATCATGGAGGTCTTTTACAACCTAACGATTTTGTGATTCTAGAGTTCTGTGAACAATGAAGATCATGTTTTGTACCTTTCTTTTGCTCACCCCATTTTTCTTAGAAAATATTCATCTTATACACCCAGGTTTTATATCTGGGCTCCTTTTGCTGCTTCTCTTGCTGGAGAAATGTTTTCAAATCCATACAGCTTCGCTCTTGTTTAAACAAAACAGGAGAGTAGAAAGCAGAAAAATTGTCTGGTAAGTTCGTTCAAGTAATCTTAGGAATTTATTCTCAATCACAATAGATTACAATTTTCAAACTGAAATATTTTTGGACAAAGGGGAGGACCTCCTGTTCAGAGGAATACCTTGTTACCCTCTTGGGAAAACATGGTGACAAAGCATGCTTTTGAAGCATGACATTGCACATCAGGGGCAAAGAGACTGCTTATTGCTTGCTTGGAAAAAGGGGAGATGAAGCCCTAATGCCAGGATTAGGTTTTAGGATTGGTGGTTAAAGCACAGCCTCTCATTTTTTCCTTGTAATCTGAGTAAGAAAGTGTCAGACACAATAATCATGGAAAAAAAATCCCACTCTAACATTTTTACAATGCTTTTCATTGTATCTGTGCGTTCAGCCAAAGTGCATGGAGAAGCTGCACGTTAGCTAGGGCAGCTCCTGGCTGCCCGGTGTAGGAAATGCCCTGTGCAGCTCCCAAGGAAGGACAGAAAGGTGGAGGTGGTTGCAGTGTGCTGTGTAAACTGCAGCATCCCTCAAAAGCAAGGCTCTGTTCTAGTTGCTGAAGGCACATCATCAGAAGAGATGGGCAGCCAGGCTGACTGCTTACGTAGAACAAGATTGGATGCAGATTTTAAGGGTAAAAAATGTATACACAAGATGATATTGTATCTTACTTTAAGTAGTGCTCAGCAGTCTGAGGACCATGATCAGGAAGTATAAACTGCTAGTTATTTTTTGGCTTTCTGTGTTAAGTAAGCAAAGAGTGTGCATTCCAAAAACAGCATAAATGTGTAACTACAGCAATGTCATTAAACGTCTAAATTCCTGGATGTACGTGAACAACATGCTGGCTGTTGGAAAACTGAGTGTTTAGCATTCACTCCAACCCTAGAACACATTATTATTATTATTATTCCTACTCTCAGATAAATGCTCTGATCATGATAAAGTTACATTCATAATATGGAGGCAGGATGTGATTATAACGTACACAATCTTTGTCTAGTCTTGATCCCTTTTGTTGCTGAAGTTTAGGCTTGTCCTACCTGTGCTTAGTAGCTGGAGCACAGTTGAATGATGTGGGGGAGGCAAGAAAAGAGCAGGTTAACCTCCAGCACTCATTTTTTATTATCTGCATATGCCTGTGCAGTTCCCAGCACAAAGGTTGGCCCTTGTTGAAAATAGCTTTTGGCATACATCAGTTCTAGTGAAGCCAGTAGAAACTTGCCCTTAGCTTTGGCTGAACAGTAACTCAGTCTTGTCTGGACTCTGTTTTTGGTGAAGTGGCAGGAAAAATCTCAGTTCTTTCTTTAAGCCAACTCATATAAAAATGTTTCTTGCTCTAGCATGTGATTTTTAAAATAAACTGAGAAGTTTACACTGAATCAGTTAAGGTTTTAGAGTACATTTATAACCAAATAGTAAATATTTGGTGAATGAAAGCATTTCCATAAATGTTACTGCTATAATGGACTACATACTTGGGAACTATAGTAGTGATGTAGCCAGAACGTGTCTCAGGAACTAATAAACCTTTTCAAGTTTCTCTTTATTCCAAAAAAATCATTTTTTGGAGCCAATGGCACCAAGCCTGTCAATTGCCAGTGCATGACTTCACGTTGCAAAAATGGAGCTCTGAGTCTGGAGAGTGATCTGCAGAGAGATTTGCATCCAACAGTACTGTGTACCTCATTTGGTAAAGTATTTAATCTTCTTTGATCACCCTGAAAACCCACACTGGATTTTGAGATCTTTTCTTCTCACTTAGCAGTTTAGAATGACACAAAGGAAATCATATCTTTTAAAAGATAGGCTATATTTATAAACTAAATCAGACTTCAATAGATTGAGTGCCTAACTCATACAGATAAAAAAGATTCAGCACCAAACCACACTGAAAAAAAATCTGTGGCAGTTATATTTCAGCCTATTTTTTAATGGAAATGCTATACCCGTTCCCATCATAGACTCTTCGTAGTGTGTGCGCATTACAGTAAAACGTCTTGTTACATGTCTTGTTACATCGTCAACAGTTTTTAGAAGTGTGAGAATTTATGAATGCATTGTCTGTGTTATGCAAATAGGATTATATGTTTTAAGATCAGAAATTATTATAGGTAATGAATTAAGTCAAACTCACTGTTTTGTTTACTTTGAATATTGGTTGTGATGACCAGGAGTTGAGTTGTCTTCTTCATCTTTTTAGCTAGATACAGTAGTCCCTCACTTTGTTTCTTTCAACAGTTTATTAGAATAGTTCTTTCTCCTAGGGTGGCTGTTGCTTGGTTGCTAGCCTCAAAGTTCATGGTGTCATCTCCCTGTTCTGCCCCATCTTACTCTTCAGCCACCACTGTGCTGCAAATCAGCAGTTCCTGCCTTTTCTTGCCACTTCTACTGAACCCACCTTTCTCTTTCACTTGGCATTCAGCTGAAGATGGAAGTGATGCTTCTGACCCAATAATAATTACATTCCTGTTAGTTGTACTCCTTCAGCAACTCTTCACCTGGCTTTTGTGCTTAGCTGTGGCTAGGAGCAGGTCAGTGTTAAGCTCTACAGCTCTGTGACTGCACCAACCTGGGATCCTACTATCGCTCTGCCTCATGGCTGCAGTAACTCTTTCATGGGCTCCAGCTCTGTTCTTACCATTATCTTACACATGCAAAGAATTTTATCTTGCATCAGTGCCGAATGAGCTTTTTTGCGTACCCCATCCAAATCAAACTTGTTGTGTTTGTTTTTACAACAAGCAAAAACCTTTTGGATTTTGTCTTGCCTTCTTCTCTCTCCTTAGCAGCCCTTCCTGCATTTATCCCTGCCCATCTCTTTTTAAATATTATTTTTCTTTTCCAGTGCCTTCCTAGGCTCCTTTCCTGTTTGTTTTCTTTTATTTATTTGTTTTGTTTTACTTTTTTTTAAAATCACATCTGTAATTATTTTTTCTTCCTTTCATATACATTTCTTGCGCTGAATTCATGGCGTAAATTGTAAACATCAGTTTATGTGAAATATCAGTCTGATCTTTGAAATCAATGGAATTGCTCCAAGCCTGTTATCAGTGTAATGCTGCAATTGTGCTTTATTAAGCTTTTCTGTCTTGCTAGTACTTATGGTGGTGCATATGTTGCTGATGGCAATAATGTGCAAGCTATGATTAGTTCCTTGAATCATCTGTTATTCAGAGGGCCAGCTCAGTAGGGAATCTCATCTTTAGATCCGTAGCTGAAATTGGTTAAAGAAAGATTTTAAAAAAAAGGAATTTTAGTGAATGTGATCCTAATGCTGCCTTTCGCTGTGTGAAGTTGCTCTCACTGCTCTAAAAAGAGAGATGGTTTGCATTGTGGAAGGTTGGAAAGAGGTAACCTGAGAGACAGCACTTGGTCACAACTTTGGATGACAAGCTTTTCTCGAACTGCTTTGATGTGGTGATATGCCTTTTATCATAGTGGATCAGACAAAAGACTTAGATTTTCCAGTATGTAGTAATTCATTTTATTTCATTTCCATTGTGTTGTATAACCATATGGTAATCCATGCTGAATGTGCCACTGAGCAGTGGAGTGGTACCATGCTGCTGTGCTCTGACAGGTCATATCCTGCACCTTCTTCATGGCTGCTGTAAGGCCAATTCTCACACAAAAGAAAAGGGAGACATCTAATCTCAGTTCTGGCTGCTAGAGTTTCATAGCAAAAGCACAAAAATACTAGTAACATAAGCAGTGATCTGTAAGGCATAGGTGTAAAGAGGATATGAAGGGCTTTACCCATAGACCTGCTGTAGGCACAGCTTTTTGTTGTTGGCAGTGCAGAATTATGTCTTCAGTCTATGACACACTTGGATAAGTTTGTGTTGACTTCTGCAAAGGAAAAAAAAAAAAAAAAGAAATCTGCCTCTTCTTTGAATTTGAATAATGAATAACTCAGACAAGTGTAAATAACTTAAAATGAAAATGTCTATAAAGAGATAAGCTACCTGGTAAACATGTTTCGTTGGGCAGTAAATCACCAAAGTATGTGCCAAAGATGGATTTTCACTTCAAAGTTATTTTATGTCAGGATTTTAAAAATTTGGCCTTGAGAATGAATTTTATACTATCTATCTGTACATGCAGTTCTAAACTGTAGATACAAAAAATGCTGTAAATATTCTCTCAGCAGGCTGCTTTTGTTCTGTTTTACTTCTGTTTGGATACGTTGTCATCGCTCTTAATCTGGTGAAGCAATTTTTGAAATCTTGGTTTGAAATTAGGTATTTTACAATTCCCCCATACCTTCATAAATCATTAAATGTTTGGTTTTGTATTTCATTGCAGCGGAAAACAGATGTGCTACTTCAAATGCAGTAACATGTACAAAGTGTCTTGCTCTGGGTCCAGAGTGTGGATGGTGTGCTCAGGAGGTATGGCATTTTGCTTACTTATTTTTTACTTTACATTTTAGCTGCTCATGATCTTTATAAAGATAAAAGACTTCTAAACTGTGAAAATTATAGTGAGAAATAACAGGAAAATCTTTAAATGTCCTCTGGACATAGCACCTGGAGAAATCATGTTAAATATATTTAATTTCTAGAGGAGAAAATACAATCTTTTATTTGGAAAATTGCAGTAATTTTAAATAAAGTGAGAACTTTTTAATGTGTTCCATCTGCTTTGTAGACAGGTTTGGCGGGTTTATAATAGCTTTGAGAGTTCAGAAGTTTTTGGCATCAAAATCAAAATTACTTATCAGTACTTTGTATTAATTCCTTACATATCAGAGCAAGTCTATACATATGTATCTATTGTACTTAACAAGAGTGGAGTTAGCTTTAACTTCACCATATTTTATGCCCCCTCTTGCAAATTGAAAAAATGATGCTTTTCTATTTTGACATCTATTGGTTCTGAGATTTGTAATAGAATATGAATCTCAGATAGGAAGAATTAAGCTGAAATTGGTATTGTTTTGGCAACTGTGAGAATATGTTTGGGTTTTTTGTTTGTTTTTGTTAGAGGAAAAAAACCCAACATGTTTATGTGATTTCAAATAATGTTGGACTATTTTAGCAGTTCAGAGGAGCAAAGTTTTTAAGAATGTCACTGAGTACTGCAAGCTAATATGCTCTTCAAGGTTGTAAGCAAATCATTTCTTGTGTCTTTCAGGTTAGCAGAGAAGGCAAATAGATTCCCAGGGAGTGCATAGAAGAGATAAAGAGCGTAAAGCATTAGCATGACTTTATCTGAGATACATTGTCTTAGAATAGTTAACTTAGTCTGAAACAAGTGTTAATAATGTAAGGATGAATAGAGGCAGGGAGAACTTGTTGTCCATGAGTTCTAGGGCATATGTACATGGCACAATGGCTTAAAATGTGGAGTGGTTCCTTATTTTCATGTGATGTCATTACGTACAGAAGGCACAATTTATTTTCCTGCCAGGTCTATATTTATCATGGAGTAGTACTTCTTAGCCTTCTACTTTTATGGGGCTGTAGAAGGTTTCTTTTAAACAGATGCTCAGATCTGACTGAATTTGATTTCTGCTCTGCTTCTTGTGCCTCACTTTTCACGTCAGTCCTAAGAGTTTTATGGAAGGCAGGGGTTTCTCAAACCTCTTTACATCATGCTTTGACAGTCAGTTCACCTATGCATTGTCCGTGTTTCTGGAATGTCAAAACCAATATTAATTCAGATAGAAATTTTTCGGAGTAAAGGTACAGGAGCAGTTTTCAGCTTAGTGCAGCTGTTTCATCTGCCTATATTATAATAATAAAAACAGTCATAAAGAACACTTGAGATTCTTTAATTTTACATCCCTGCACAGTGAACTTCAGAAAATGTTATATCTGTTCATTTCCAGTGATAACAGTGAGAGTGAATAAGTTCTTAGGACATTTAAAAATCTATCTTTGTGAAATTTATGTAAATCATGAAAGGAGTATAAATAGGAGAGACCTACGAGAGTAGTCTCTGTTGTGTACGTTGAAGAAGGTTGTGAAAAAACAGTATCAGGTACACTATAAAAAACAGTAGGAACTTAGAAAACAAGATACATGACTGACAAATCTCATTCTTCAGAGGCTTTCTCCAGTCTTTTCAGAGTCTGAGTGACAATTTATTCTCTATTACAGAGTGGGCTGTATGCACTTTTGGATTGTTTATTTTCCCCATCTGCCTCTGAAGTATCAGAGATTGTCCATTGTTTGGTCTCCAGCTGTGGCTGCAATGGATTAATGGCTTCAAAGAGCACAAAGGATCTTGTCAAGCCTTTTTTATTTCTTGCATGATCAGGATCATGCTAATCACCAGATTTGTGGTCAGGAAGGAATTTTGCACTGGTTCATGTTGGCACAATCTTGGCAGCTTTGCCCTTTTACTGCTTCTGAGATCATCCTACTACTAACCTTTTTTCTGTTGCTACAGAGACTTTTTTCTTATTGGTGGCATATTAAACTCTTCAGTCCCATTGTACATAAATTCCTCTTTCTAGAGATATAGTCCAGCTGGTCTTTCACTTCTGTGCAGGCTACAGGATAAAGTTTAAAAATCTGTAATTGTCAAATTCAGGTTATAGGTAAAACTTTTATTGCAGCTTTTACTTTTAAATTGTAGCCTAAGATTACTCTGACAGTAAATATGCTTAGAAATCATGTGAATGACATTTTCTTGGTGGAACTAATTCATAGCATAGCACAGAACTTTTTTTACTTACAGTGACAGTACATAGTTTCCTTTTCCTCCAAAGTCATCTTGTTCTGTTTGTGCAAGATCTTCTTTCTCACAAAAAGTTTTGTCCTTTATAGAAAAATAGTCATTGTAGCAATTAGGTTAACATCTAATTTAAATATTTTGACATTACTCTTATTTAAAACATATGGCTTCCATGAACTACTTTTATTTATGCAATTATAGTAGCGTGCTTTATTGTTTCAAAGACTGTTAGTTTGTTTTTCTCTTTCCTTTGAAGATATTACAGTTGGAGTTTTTTCAGCTCAAATTTTTTGTACTTTTTATCTCTCATAAAATAGGATTTCATGGCTGACTCAACACAGAAGGGACGCTGTGACACTGTTTTCAACTTATTGAAAAGAGGCTGCCAATCGGATTTTGTAGAAAGTCCCACAGTTCATGTTACAATACCCAGTGACCAAGAAACAAATACTCAAGTGATTCCAGGAAGAGTTTCAGTCCAACTGCGTCCAGGTTGGGTTTTCTTTAATACACTGATATTATAGTCAATTAAAATACAGCACAATAATATTTAAATACATTTTGAAAAGAAACTGCTGGAATCGTCTTGAAGAATGATGCTATAACATTACACTATATGTGTAATATGTTGCTCCCATAGTCAAGTACAGTCTTCAGTAAGAAATGTTTCTACAAAACACAGCTTATGGTGAAAATAATGCAATTAGTGAGTAGAAAAGGGATCTTAGGCAGTCTTTTCTATTTTCTGTTATGATTTTGTGATTCTTTTTCTTTTCAAGCCTAATTTTCCCTTACATCCATATAAAATGTGTTCTTTACTGTAAGTAAATTGGACTGAAATTTATAATTCATAAATTAATATGTTGATGAGCTTCTTTATTATTTGCTTATGATTAAGTGCATTGAGTAAACAACTGTGAAGACAGCCAATGTGAAAGAGAGGACTGGTCTTGTAAAGAAGACTTAGATATTCAGTGCTTAATTTTTCATTTAAAACACATGAGACACCTGGTCCTGACAGAATTGATATCTCCTTTTATGGATTTGAGTCTTTTTAGAATACTTCTATTTGCCCTCTACTGAACTGATCAATTTTTGGTAGAAAAATACTTAGTTAATATGAGAAGTCTGAATTACTTTTGTATCTTGCTGATTTTAATTGTGTAAAAGATCAGTCTTTTTTTACAAGTAATTTTCTGTTAATTGCAAGGAAAAAGAAGCTGCAGGAGCATAAAGCACGAAGTAACTCTAGTTTTCTTTGTAATTTGTTGTCTTTGTAATGATAAAACTGGAAAAGCAACGTCACCACTTCTTCTCCTTTCCCCAGCCTCCATTCAGAGAAGTGACTGATAATCTGCTTTGCACTGAGTCATGGTATTGGGAACCAAGCTAGCTCTAGAAATGTTTGCTATTGCATTTATTTCTGAAGCTTTGACACAACTGGATTCATAGAAAACAATCTGCTTTGTAAACTTGGGCTTAATGAACCATTTTGCCAGTAGTGAAACTAAGCTGAGGGTTCCATAAACTGTACTGAAGCTTCTGCTTGAAGGAGACAAATACAGAAGACTAATATTTGATATATAGACATTTAATCCCATTTTAATCCCTAGGGAAATTCACTGATATACAATGTCAGTGGGACAAATATATATTTTTTTACAGTAATTAGACCAAAAATGGTTTTGTTTTGATTCCATTTTTTCATCACTATTTACAAGAATCCCAACTATGATGAATGGGAGAAAATACAAGTTGTATTTGCTGTATGCAACCTGGTCATTTAAAAACAAAACAAAACAACAACTTCAAATTACATTGGCAAAGAGGAAACAGAAGTTACAATATACTGAAATTCTGTTTTCTTCATGTCAGACCCAAAAAAGATACATCTTGAAATATTCGGCTATATTATGTTTGAAGAATATTGGAAGAAAAAATATTTAGGTAGCCTATTTAAAATGTACTTTGCGTGCTTAACATTTCTGAGTCAGATCTTTGATAGAATTTAACACACTTCACAAATGAAATGATTCTGCAGGAAATACAGACATTTATTATCTTGAGATGAGAGGACCATTTTTTTCTATTTTTTTCAATATTAAAACCTGCTTTGTTTACTTTCATTTCGATCCTACTGAGTTTTCTCATCAAGTCTTTGGGAACAAATTGGTCTAAGCTTGTTGTGTAACTTACCTGCGTTCTTCAGGCTGTGCTTTTGTCAAGAAATGTACAATTTTATACACACATGATAGGCTGTTTGCAGGATACTTTGATATACTTTCAAGTGTCAGCCCTGAAGTGAGTGGCCACAATTTGTATGCGTCCTTTTTCAGTTGTAACTGCTGTTTGGTTCAACGTAAAAGGGATTGCATAATCAGGAATTTAGAAGAAAGTAGGGGGAAGTCAGATTTTCAGGAACACTCCTGTGAGAGGAAAAAAAAAGCAAGATGTTTTTTAAGAAGAGTTCCCTTATGGCTTATTTTTGAACTATGCTTCAAGGTTTCATTGACTCTTGGGAGGTTTTCTTATTTCCTTGGGTTTTTTTTTTGCTGACACAAACAACTTTGTGCTGAGGTTGCTGCAAAGATAACACATTTTTAAGAGTGTATGTTGAAAAATAGTACCTTAATTTATTTATTTCCTTTGAATCAGGAAGTGAAGCAAGCTTTATATTAAAAGTTCATCCTCTGGAGAAGTACCCTGTGGATCTTTACTATTTAGTTGATGTCTCAGCTTCTATGCACAACAACATAGAGAAACTAAATTCCGTTGGATTTGCTTTATCTAAGAAGATGGAGAATATTTCTCTTGATTTTCGACTTGGATTTGGATCCTATGTGGATAAAACAGTGTCACCCTATATTAGCATTCACCCAGGTAGAATCCATAACCAATGCAGGTATGTAATCTTTTGATATTTACTGTAGAACTCAGAACTGATCTAATTACACAAATATGCATTATGTGTATGTATTTTAAAAGCTCTCCAGAATCTGCTTCACTATACTAGGAGTTTCCAGCAAAGTTCCTAAAAAAATATTGAAAATTATTATTCAGTGTTTACTTCTGAAATATCTGGTGAATGGTTTTTAAAAAGTTTGTTGCCATATAAGAAAAAATGTGCAATGTTTTCTTTATAAAAACAAGCCATCTTTAGTCTGTTTGAATATGTTTTTCATTTAATTTTATAGCAAACTGTTATATTCTCAGTTTGGATATATGTTGCATAGATTCATTACAAAGAATGATACTTTCTGACCAAAGACTTCTCTTCTGGTGTATGGTCCTGCATTCATTAGCTCTTTTCTTCAAAAGTCTGTTTTTGTCGATGTGATGCAGTTTCTTTCTTCCATTTCTTGAACAAAAGAAATCCTTTGATTCAATTCCACCATTGTTTTATGAACAAACTCCCATTTTAAATGAGAAAGGTGTTCTGGCTTGAATTTCTTTTTTCATGTCCTTTATTCCTTGCATTCAACACATAGGTAAAGTGAGGAATCACTTTGGAAATGTTCCAGAAGACACAATTTTCACATTAAATTAAAATCTCTATAATGCATAATACTTGGTAAAGCACATATTAACTGCTTGCATCTTCTTGCTTGTTATAATCTTTACTGGGAAGACATGATTAATGGTTCCATGAAGTCCATGAGCATCTTTTTTTTTTTATTCCAATGATTTTTTAATTTGGTATTAGTGGAGAAATTACCTGGATAGATATAAAATGTCAGTGTTTGAAGTAGTAAACTAAACTGTCTACTATAGTAAGTAGAAGTCAATTATCACTTCCAGGACATGATTTATTTTGCCTAAAAGTAGATGTCTGCAGATGCATTATACCTTACAGTGCCTGTTTCTATTCATTTACTGCGAACTGAGTTCGAAGAGGGTAGGTTGCAATCAGTATGCAGCAAAAGGTGAGGTAGATACTGCTCAGCATCTCTGAATTAGATGAGCTCTTCCATTTCTGCTGTAAATACTTTTGTAATATATGGGTCACAGAGCAATGACCTGTAAAAGTCCTATGGCATTATCTTACTTGTGTCAAACTTAATCCTTTCCCCTTTTGTATATAATTGTTTCTATTGAATGTAGTGTTATGTGGAGTTATTTTTTCTCTTTAGGTACTTATTTTAAAATTCATATATACACTTTCACTCGTAACAGGATTTTGTGTGGATTGGTAGGGAATATTTACATCTCCTTCAAATGGAAAATGTGGACTATGATAGACTTTTTTGCTAAATTTTGTTTTGTTTTTATTTTGTACAGTGATTATAATTTAGATTGTATGCCACCTCATGGTTATATTCACGTGCTGTCCCTGACTGACAACATAGCAGAATTCAGAAATGCAGTGAATAAACAAAAAATTTCTGGGAATATTGATACACCTGAAGGGGGTTTTGATGCAATGCTCCAAGCAGCTGTGTGCCAGGTAAGGAATATATCAACAAAAGACCAGATGGTACTTCGAACATGAATATGTATGTCACAACTGTGCTCAAGTGATACTGAATTCAAATTGTCAATTATAGGCCAAAAAATAGTAGGATTTCTTCCTCCCGTTTCATTATTTCCTTTCAAGCTATGCATTTTGGTTTCCAGATGAAACTGAGAAAGGATAGAATTAAAAAACAGAATGCATAAGGAAATCAACTGCTTCATGCTTGAAACATGAATTACTTTCAGTCAATTACAAAATCATTGTCAAAAGTCACTGATGATTTTCTTGTGTTCCCAATGAAGGACATACCATTTGGCGTTTCTGCTACTTAAGAAAATTGAAGAATCAGTTACATGTTTGCTTGTGTAGATAAAGAAAACGTGCATTTTGGTGTTATCTCAGCTTTTAACGAATTAATATTTGAAAAAATACAAATAAACTAAAAATTAATATATTATATTGATAAAATTATGTCCCCGTCTCTCCCATGCAGAAAGAGATGGAAAAGATTTGCATCTGTAAGACTATTAAATGACAGTGATTTGTTTTCTCTTCAAGGCTTTTTTTGCATGCTGTTTTCCTTGAAGTAGCGCAACAGAGATTTTGAAAGTTTACTGATTCTTGGGTTTACTAATGCTCTGTAGAATAACTCTTTCTGATAATTCTCCTCCCAGCCAAACCACAGGCTTCTAGTGCAGTTCTTGTTTCTTGGGATGATGTCAATGTAACTCTTTTATCTTGACCATTTTCACATTCTCTCTTGGAGCAGAAGGAGTCAAACCCAAAAAGGAACCCCAAGTATGATAACAACAAATAGTTTGGTTCCATTTTTATTTTCAGTTTTTGATTATCTGTAACACAGGTAAATAGTTATTATTCTCAGCTGTGTTCACAGCTGTTAGAAAAAAAATATTTACAGAAGCTTTGGAAAAGTTCCTTAGATTGCAGTGTTTCTCATTGGATACATTCCACACTTACGAGTTGTGAGTTTTAGAATCATCCATGCTTCCTAAAGCAATAGAATGAAATGGAATGAAAACATGGGCTAAGGAGCACCTCTCCTATGAAGAAATGTTGAGGGAACTGGACTTGTTTAGCTTGGAGAAGGGAAGGCTCTGGGAAGACCTCATTGTGGACTTCCAGTACTTGCAGGGAGCAAGGACAAGGGGGAATGGTTTTAAACTAAGACAGGAGAGATTTAGGTTAGATATTAGAAGTTCTTCACTCAGAGGGTGGTGACGTACTGGAACAGGTTGCCTAGAGAGGTTATGGATGCCCCATCCCTGGAGGTATTCAAAGCCAGGCTGGATGTGGCTCTGGGCAGCCTCATCTAGTGGTTGGTGACCCTGCCCATGTCAGCAGGGTTGAAACTAGATGATCTTTGAGGTCCTTTTCAACCCAAGCTATTCTGTGAGTCTGTGAAGTTTGCAGATGACACCAAGTTAGTAGGGAGTTTCAATCTATCTTTAGAGGAATCTGAACAGGCTGGATCACTGGGCTGAGGCCAATGGGATGAAGTTCACAGAAGACTAAGTGCCAGGTCCTGCACTTTGGCTGCAATAATAACCCCTGGCAATGCTATAGGCTTGGGGCAGAGTAACTGGGAAGCTCTGCAGAGGAAAAGGACTTGAAAGTGTTAGTCAATGCTAGGCTGAACAAGAACCAGCAGTGTGCCCAGGTGACAAAGAAGGGCAATGGCATCCTGGCTTGTATCAGAAATAGTGTTGCCAGCAGCACCAGGGATGTGATTGTCCCCCTGTATTTAGCTCTGGTGAGACTGCACTTTGAGTGCTGTGTTATACTTACCACAAAAAAAAAAAAAAAGCACTGAGGCCCAGGAGCATGTCCTGAGAAGGGCAATGAAACTGTGAAGGGTCTGGAGCTCAAGTCTCATGGAGAATGGCTGAAGAAACTATTATTGTTTAGTAAGAGAGGAGGAGGCTCAGAGGTTACCTCATAGCCTTCTACAACTACCAGAGAAGAGGTTGTGATGAGGTGGGGGGACAGTATCTGGCAGTGTTAAGGGAAATGGCAGAGATGAGGCAGAGTTGTAGGAAGGAGGAGCAAGAAATGAGGCAAAAGGAAGAAAAAAAATGGAATTAGTCAAGAAAATAGAATAATAAAGATGGGAATGAAAAAGAAAATGAGGTGATTCATGTCTTCGTCTTCAAAGTTTTATTTAAAGCAGTCGTTCATTCTTTGGAGGGAAACAAATGTTCTGGAAATAAGCACCCAACCCAGTATAGATCTAAGCTTGCCCTGCTACGTGTTTCATATCACTGAAGTCCTAAAGCACATTGGATTTATATTTGTTGTTTGTAATGCAGAAAATTACACAGATGTTACATGTATATCTTTTTATGTACTAACAGTGTGTCAGCTGTTAGTCATGCCCACTATATAATGCATAATTTGTTTATATTTTGAGGGATTTTCCTTCAAAAATGAAAGCAAGTGGTAAGTGGACCTCTGATTTTCAGAATAGTTTTCAGACATAGGATGTGAAATCCATTTACACTCAAAAAAAAAAAAAAAAAAAAAAAAAAAAGAAAAGAATGCTTTAAATATCCTGGTTATCCTGGTTTAAACCCGGTGTTTCTAAATATTCCAACACCTGGAAGCAGACTTCTACATTCATCTTTCATTTTGTTATTTATTATTATTGGAAGTAGGCAGTTACCTCTCTCTTATGTTCAATTTTGTTTCCTTTTCAGAGCCACATTGGATGGCGCAAAGAAGCCAAGCGACTACTTCTAGTGATGACAGACCAAACTTCCCATCTAGCCCTAGACAGTAAATTAGCAGGGATTGTGATTCCCCATGATGGAAACTGCCATTTGAAAGATAATGTTTATGTCAAAGCTACGAGTATGGTAAGGTATATGTCATACCTTCTGCCTTCAGGGGAGTGGTGTAAATGAGGTTTTTAGGTCAGTGTCAGAGCATTGCTTTTAATTCACTCGTTAAAATAAT